TGTATGACGCAATACCAGCTTCAGATTGCATCATTCATTGTTTTGCCTAAAAAGCAAGTACTGTCCAAACCCAGTCATAGATTTATTCATAGATCCAGTCAAAGATGTATTTTAGTCATTTCTGGTTTAAATTGAGATCCCTTCCCTTTATAACTCACTTATCCTCCGCCATTCCCGAGTCAAGGGTCGTATATACTGACCCAATAGCATATCTTGAAAACTTTCGGCAGGTCCCAGAGCGTTTGCACCCCCATTGGTGGCTGAACTGACTGTGTAGCCCCAGTCTCTGCTGCCTAATTTCCCCACTAGGGATATTAATCATAAGGCACGGAGCGGCTTCCATATGAGGAAAGACTAAAACAAGAGGATGTACTTTTTCCCACAGTGCACAATTAACCTGTGGAACTCATTGCCAGGGGATGTGGGGATGATCAAAAGCACAGCAGGGTTCAAAAAAGAACTAGATCTGTTCCTGGAGGATAGGGCCATCAATGGCGTTTAGCCAAGATCGTCAGGGACACAACCCCCAGCTCTGGGTGTCCCTAAACCTCTGACTGCCAGAAGCCAGGAGGGGAAGACAGGGGTGGGTCTGTCCTAAATTACTGTGTTCTGTGCACCGCCCCTGAAGTTCTGAAGTTCTGGTTGTGCCACTGTCGGGGACAGGGCACTGGACTAGCTGTGGCCACTCTTATGTTCTTACCTGGCTTCTTGATGGTCCTACCCACGAGAATCACATTTTCCCTCCATTGAAAAAAATAAATAAAATTCCAGAGAGTTTGGTCTCCAGTGTGTTTTATTCAGTGCAACAATATCAAGGGGATGTGAGTCCATGCGGGAGCTGAGAACCCCCGGAGGGGAGAGGGGCTAACGCAGGCTCCAGGGGTGGATTTCAGTGCAGTGTGGCTGTTTCACCAGGTGGGGAATTAAGAGAGAAGCGTCATCAGGAAGAGGCCAGCAAAGGCTGCAAGGAGAAACCCGGCTGGTCCTGGAGCCACGCCCGCAGCGCCGGAGGTTGTGGTTGTTGAAGTCATGCCCGCTGTACGGGAGGTCGTGGCTGCTGGAGCCACGCTCGGAGCATTGGAGGCCACGGTTTCCAGAGGCACGTCTGTCGCGTTGGGGGCCCCGGGTCCTGGAGGCGCATCTGTCACGTTGGGGGCCCCAGGTCCCGTGGCGTTGGGGGCCCCGGGTCCCGAAGGCGCGTTCGTCGCATTGGAGGCCACGGGTCCCGGAGGCGCATCCGTCATGTTGGAGGCCCAAGGTCCCAGAGGCACGTCCGTCGCATTGGGGGCCCAAGGTCCCAGAGGCACGTCCGTCGCATTGGGGGCCCCGGATCCCAGAGGCGCGTCCGTCACGTTGGGGGCCCCGGGTCCCAGAGGTGCGTCCGTCACGTTGGGGCCCCGGATCCCAGAGGCGCGTCCGTCACGTTGGGGGCCCCGGGTCCCGGAGGTGCGTCCGTCACGTTGGGGGTCCCGGGTCCCGGAGGCACGTCTGTCGCGTTGGGGGCGCCGGGTCCCGGTGGCGCGTCCGTCATGTTGGAGGCCCAAGGTCCCGGAGGCACGTCCGTCGCGCTGGAGGCCCCGGGTCCCGGAAGCGTGTCCGTCACGTTGCGGGCCCGGGGGCCCGGAGGCACGTCTGTCACGTTGGGGGCCCAGGGTCCCGGAGGCGTGTCTGTCACGTTGGGGGCCCAGGGTCCCGGAGGCGTGTCCGTCACCTTGGGGGCCCAGGGTC